GTGCATTTTTGTGGAGTGCTTCAAACATAACCAATCCCAGCTGCCACACTGTTGTGGGGCCGGCCTTGTAGGTGAAATTACTGAGGTACTCCGGTTGGACAAAAGCAGCGGTACCTGGAATCGATAGACATAATAATAAGACAATGAGGATGAGGAGACGAAGAAACTTTGATTCAGTGTAAAGTCACCAAACAGTAAATTAGCAGGGGTAGAAGCCTGACATCTTACCAAAGAAGTCATTAAAACATGATGTTTCCTCAAAGAAGCAGCTCAATCCAAAGTCAATGAGCCGAACATGTGGGACATCTGAGCCGGTTTCAATCAGGATATTTTCAAGCTTGATGTCACGGTGAAAGATGCCCATATTATGAAGGTCTAGTGCTGCGTCAACCAGCTGTTTCATTATGACCTGAGAGAGACAGACAAAAAAGATGATGGATCAGAAAGCAGGGAGGGACTCCGAGGCAGTGGTCTGATGTTTTTGACTACTATAATTGGTGAAAACACACATTCACAAGCATTGTCTAGCAGCTTACCTTGACCTTCTCTTCCTCTAGGGACCCTCCGTTGACCTCTAAGTAGCTGTAGAGATCTTCAGAGGGGACTGGTCTCTCTAGCACCAAGATGAGCTCCTGGTCCAGGTCATACCAGTCCAGTAAGGACACAGGTGCCCTCACTGATTCACCAGTGAGTTTGAGCATGATGATCACTTCTACAGGGAGCTCCTTCCCATTCTCATCCTGAAATATCACAAGAACATGAGGGAGAGAAGCTTCACCAATAATCCATGTGCAGTGGAGAATACAGCAGATATTTACAGTACTCACCAGTTCTGTGCGGAGGTCATCGTCTTTTGGTATGTGCTTGATTGCTACCTACAAGACACACAGAGGAATTTAATTAGTCCTTCCTGACCCTATTGTGTGTATGTGTGCATATGAGGTGTGTGCAACACTTACTGGTAAATGATCTGCTTTGCGATAGCCAGCAAACACAGAGCCATAACCTCCTTCACCAAGCAGATTCTGCTCTGTGTATTTGTCTTCAAATCTATTGACATTTACTGTCAAGTCCTCTGTTGTCTCCTCCACAGTGTCCTCTGTGGTCTTTCTTTGGGTCTCATTCAGGTCAGAGGTCCTCCTCTTTTTCCTGCATGACCCTGCTCCATCATGTGCAGCCTTCCTCTCAGTGCTCGTCTTGCTCAGCCATGTACTGCAGACGTCTGAGGTGTTGCTGCTGCTCTCTACACATGAGAAAAAATCCAGAGGATCATCAGCATGCCAACGGTCTCAGTTCACTAACGTGGATAACAAGTCCTCTATTGCAAATGACCAAACAGGCTTTCATCTAGTGCCTTCCAAAATTACATTTTTTTTTTATCTGCAAAGTGTTTTGATAAGGTCAAGGAATAAGTTATCATTTCAGGAAGTGCACATATCCACGCTTAAGAGCGCTTCTAACTTTAAATAATCAATCAATCCTTCTAGCGGTATCTGTCTGTACTAATAGTTTTTATGGTAGATGTTGAGACATTCTCTCTCTTCCCCATAACAAATAGTCCCAATGAAATTTGCCTGTAGTGTTTTCTGGTTTCTGGTATAGGTTTAGGCAAAACAAGCACTTGGGTTAAGGTTAAGGAAAGATCATGGTTTTTGGTTAAATGTAATTGTAGTCACTGCAGTTAGGTTTCTTAAGAAATGTATTTGCTTTTGGAAAGTAGCTGTATACAAATGTGATATTCTTGGATATGGTGTTGCTTGAGTGGATTTACAGACAAACTAGGGGACTGGTTAGACTGGTTTTGAATTTTTATTTGTAAATGTTGTGAGGGCCAAAAATGAAATCCGGTTGACCTCCACTGAAGTATTATTAGAGCAATACACAATAAATGGACTGTATTTTATACCCTACTTGATGTACAATTTTCAGCTTTTTGTACTAATGAATCCACAACATCTGAACCTCATGTGAAATATAAACTGATGATATACAGCGCCAACTGTAATTTCACATGTTGAGCTTACCTTTTTCAGTGTCCACTGAGAAGGATGTCTCTCCATCTTCTCTGATTTGGCACTTTTCTCTTTCCAAAATGCCATTTTGCACAGAGTTGTTACAGGCTTTGGCCACCCTTTTGATTTTTCTGGGGCTGTCCTTTTCAGGACTGGCCTTGCGTTTAATGCCCTTAGAATGATGGAGAATCATACTCCCTCTGGTAGACATGTTGTCCATGAGGATTTCCACAAAGTTTCAAACACGATAGCGTCGAATATCGAGCAAGTGTAGATCCAACTGACTGTTGAGTCTCTTGGTGTGTTATGGAGTCCTATAGAATGTTGGGCAGTTAGGTCTAAATAGAATGTTGGGCAGTTAGGGTACGGAATGCTTCCTTTCTGTGGCAGTTACAGTATGTTGTGTATATATTTAAACTGGTAGGTCAAAGTTCATTTCAAATAGACTTCATGATTTAATGCAGTTTGTTTTGATATTTGAACCACTTTAAGTAAATTTTACTCTAGTACTATGCCTTCGTACAATTTTGAGACACTTTCAGCTAGTTTCTTTGAAGATTAAGATTGTACACCAAAACATACAGTATGATAAGCTTCTAAATAGAAATTTGGTTACTTGAACCAGCTACAAGCATTTTCACTATTGTGGCAACCTTATATAAACTACAGACGGGTGACAAATCAACAGAAAAAACAACAACGTGTCTTTGTCAGGTGTTGGACCACCACCTGCCACCAGAACAGCTTCAGTGCACCTTGGCATTGATTCTACAAGTTTCTAAACTGTACTGGAGCGATGGATACCAAACTTATGAAAGCTATTCCATCATTTGGTGTTTTGACGATGAAGGTGGAGATGTTGTCTGACACGTCGGTCCAAAATCCCCCATAAGTGTTCAGCTGGGTTTAAGTCTAGTGACTGTGAAGGCCACAGCATTTGATTGACATCATTTTCATACTTGTCAGACCATTCAGTGACCCCCTCAAGCCCTATGGATGGGGCCATTGCCATCCTGGGAGAGTGCGACCTTTTATTCAGGTTCTTCCTTTTATTTGTCACTGACCTGTATGTGTGCAGTTATGTGTGAGGTGAGGCACAACGGATTATATGACAATTATTATTGCACTAACAGATGCAGTAAATATTTCATAGGAAAATTAATAATTTTATTTATTTTGTATTTCTGCCGGGTAGAATAGGTTGAAATAATATGGGAAAAACCCCATGTAATGTTTTTAAATATTCGTTGTCATAATATAACAGTAAATTCATGGTTGGAGCCAGAACCTTCTTTTCCTGGTGCCCAAATCATAAAGTTCTTTCTTTGTAATGTTACTCCTCCTCCAAATACAAGGCACTGATAACATTGAAACACTCCGCTGTGTGTTCCCTTTGAAATTCTCAAATGACTTAGGAATACTACTGAATAACTGGGCATGTAGACGTCCAGAGCTGCCAGGAATTCAAAGATATTTAGAGTCTGAGGAGTCTGGAGTGAGCTGTTACACTCATCTTAGTTTGAATTGAGACCGATACATGGATTTTACAGTGTCATGATGGTGAAAGTCAATGATGTTACTGCATCTTTTACTATGTCAGATCATATTGTATTTGTTAAAAGCTGAGCAGGTGCATTTTGTACCAGCTGAAGGCATGACTTTTTTTTTGGCTTAACCCTGCATACAAATAATTCCACTAATCTGAGGCAGCGTGTATGACCTTCTCAAGATCTGGTTGAGAGAGAAAAGACCAGATTCTTTTGGATGTTCCTCATTTAATAAAAACATGATTGAATTTTGTAACTTGTTTGTCCAATACGAGGTCACCGTCAAATAAAACACCTAGGATAGAGCCCTGGGGAACACCAAAGGTCAGTATGGCTGCCAAGGAGGAGGTGTCACCAAACACAACTAAAATGTTATTTTTGCTAAGTAGTGTTTTGTTTTAGTCTAGTGTAGCATCCCTGTTGCCAACCCATTTTTCAGTAAAATTGAACAATCAAAAGCTGAGCTGAAGGTAAAAGATCATTAGTAATTAGTACATCATTTACATTTACCTGCAGGAATTTAAAGGTAGTATTTATCTAAAGGATTTACAGTTTGTGGATGGACTGTAAGGGGCAAACATGTCAATTCAATGTACTTTTAGACTTAAGAAATTTTCCGTATTATTTGTGTTTGCAGGTGAGACGCAGGGATAGCACACGGATGCTATGTCACCCCTCCTTCAGAGAGTAGCTAGTTTGGAGAGGAGATGGAGAGAGCACAGACTTTCTCTGTGACCCTAGGTGAGACTACAAATCAAAGGTCATGCAGCAGAAGATTCTGAAGATGCATGCACCATAAGTTGTCTGTAATATAAAGTGTGTAAACCCTTGTTGAAAAGGAAGCTTGTTAGTTTAAAAAGTTGGCCGATGCATGCGTGCCAGATCTGATAAGTACTCGATGCATGTCTACAGGAGCGGCCATGCTCTCTTGGCCTTCATGTTCTCCAGACAGGAGGGCAAGCTGAACCGGCAGCAGACTATGGAACTGGGACATCACATTCTCAAGGCTCACATATTCAAGGTAACAAGAACTGTGATACTATGTTTATAACTCGTTACGTAGGTTTGTGACCAGAAATGAATGAATGTACTGTACCTAAACCCTCCTGAATTTTCTCGATTCCCAAAGTCCTCACATAAACAAGATTCTGCGCTTAACTGCATATTATTGCACAGAAACACACAAATAAGAGTGAACCCTTCTCCTTAAGGCTGTGGAAAAAATTAACACTTCCACTGTTGTTCACATGGAGAATATGGCAGGAGGAAGTAAAATTAAGCCAGAGGATGCTGCCAAAGCAAAGGGGGGGGTGCAGGAGATGAAGACTGAGAAATTTGTTCACTTCCTACATTTTATGCTGGACTACAGTACCATCTTATCCAAGTGCAGTACTGATTTTCAGCATGACAACTTAAACATCACACGAACAAATCAGTTAGTTCAGGGTACCGCATCACGCTCACTCAGCCTGAAAACAAAACCTGGAGAATACCAGAAAACCTTGGACACAAAGTTCACAGTGAAAGAGGATGGCAACATTTGCTACTGTGGAACTCCACTCACAAAAAGCCACCTCACAGGGTTCCCGCCCTAGAAGAGGCCTCCACAAACAGTGTGACGTGCTGTGACTACACTGGGTGAATGTGCATTATAATTCTAAGCAGGCTAAATTACTGACGTGCACATACTGACTCAGAAATTTCCAAAAAAATTTACTCCCATTCATAAGGTTCCCAGTTGTTCAGCCTACATCAACAGCTCACACTTTCGAATGCAATTAAAGTGCCCAGTGCTGAATTACAATCTCAGAAGGAGTCAGTGCCACCAATTGCAGCCCCATAATGATACCAAGAAGATAATTTTCTCTTTCACCCTGTTGAGTCACAGTATCGTTAGAAACCAGTGGAGCTAACGTTTGAGCAACACGAGCTCAGTGCCTACACGTTTCATCTGCCTCCTGTTACAGCTACAGACCGATGCAGATGCTGGTTCAGTCAAACAGAGGGAGAGTCATTTGGAGAAAAGGCAACATTAAATTTATATATTATGTGTGAATGTCTGTGGTCATGTTGTGAAAATTTTGTATAATAAATCTGTGAATGAACTATGTGTTTGTCATCATATTGTCATGTTGCGTCATTATGAGAGTTTCTACCAGCAGTGTGTTTGTACTTCAGATTAAAGGAAGATTCTGAGCCTCTATTTCATGGCTCAGTGGATGACAAAGACTGATACAATACAACCAATTTTAGTGGTGTGCTCATTCTGCCTTTGCAGTAAAGCTGGTGTTATCTTCTTTTATTATAAACAATTAATCTAATGAAGCAAATAAATCCATTCATACTATTAATAAGAATTTCCTATATTACAGCTTTTGCCTCTGCACCATGAAACTCCACTGACAAACAAGCCATATTGTTGCATTCAGGTGACATGAATAAAAACACACAATTATTGGAGGCAGCTAACCCCCTGGGCTCTGTATGACAATGTGGGTGTCTGTAGTGTGTGTGCCTGTATGTCACTGTGTCACCAGGTCATGCTGGATGTGATTATGGCACAAATGCTGTCTTCAGTCTGACCCTATTTGTTAAGGCATATGAAACTCTGCACTCAGCCGTGCTGATTTCTGACAGACAGAATTAGTGATAAACAGACTTTTCATGGCTTAAAAAAGATGATTTTTCCTGTCAGAGAAATACAGTTTTGACATTTGCCTCACATAATCCACTGGAGCTCACATTTACTGACCTACATTAGTCATTGCAGGGAAACAGTTTCCCTAGCTTTTCCATTCAACACATAATCAGCATAGTGTCTATATAAAGATGGTGACAAATTTTGATAAAACGATAAAAATGGGATTAAAATATACACAGTAGGATTAGATAAACCATACAAGTTTTTGAGTTAAATCTTGCAACTCTGTTGTTCTTCAGTATAAGTGAGCCATACAAATCTAGCTACAACTACACCACCTATGGCTCAGACTGTCCACACTTTATTAGTGTGAATGAACAATAAAAGGCCTCAGGTCAGAATATTTCATAAAGGAAAGAAGAAGGAAATCAGAAAATATGAATGAGTGAGTTTTTCTACCAACTCTCTCATGTATAGAGTGGGAGAAAGAAGATTTATTTTGCTGGAATTCGTAAAAAGTACTATTTCAGTGCATATTATATTTCTGGATCAAAATAATTTTTCATATTGACAGAATATTTTCTTTTTCATACATTTACTATATCTCCTCATGGGGTATTTATGATAAAAAGTAAACAGCTGGTGCTAGATAGGCATCTTCTGAGGTTTGCTATCAGTCACGGTAACAATATTCAGGCCAGTTTCCTAGCATGATACCAGCTCTTTGAATCAGTCCCTGTATCTTTCTTTCTTTTTTTAAAATAATTTCAGTAGCTCCGGTTTAGCTCACTGACACCTGTTTCTCATCTTGGAAAAACAACTCTCTACTAGTTATAAAGTCTGTTTTAAGTTGATTTATAGAATAAACAACTCTATCTACCGGTGTGAAACACTTAAAGAAAACACCTCTGAAACAACTAGTGCAGCTTCCAGTTGACAGGTATGTGACATGCCACAGATGGGTGAAGCAAAATAAAAACCCCTCCCAGACAGTAGACTGCTAAAATGGCTGTGACGTACAGTAAGGCTACTCCAGCTTGATTAACACTATGGCTTCAATATTAGAGATTCATACATGTACTGTAGGTTTTAAAGCTAGTTTTTTTATTTTGCTTTATTTTGTCATGATTCACAATCTTCACAATTATCTCCACACCTCGAACTGAGACAGAACAAGTTTATTTGTATTCTGCATAACAAACACCTGTGAGCGAAGGCTATATTCCATAATTCCAACATTCGACTGCCCCTGCCACATTACACATTAGTATTAACACTCCCATAATAGTAAAACATTAAAAATGTTTTATTTGTATATTAGTGACAAATGTTTAAATGTATTAGTAAAAGCTGTAGTCTAGTTGTGTACATTTTTCTTTGCTTTTATCTGGTGCACTCTGCATACAAAAAGGTGCAATGTAAATAGACTCAGAGACATGCACAACATATTCATATGTACCTGCACTGTCTCTATGCAGTGTATATGGCAAAGAAATCTCTTGAACTTCATAAAGAAATATGAGTATTTAAACCTATGTATCAATATTAGTTTCTTGCTACATACAACAGTGAAAATTTGTGAGATGGCTGCTTTTTTTTTTAACATATTTTCACTGAATTATCTATTAGTCTAGTTATAAATGATTTACTTGTGGTTTGTAGTGGGAAGTTACTTGGACAGAAAATAAATACAGAGTAACATTTCTGACTAAAATCCAGAGAGGCTCATTATTAAAACTAAAATTGAAGCCTGCTGTTTCCAGTGTACAGGTTGTTCCTAGTTACATTTTTTAATTGCTTTTTATGACTTGTGAAGCTAAGTGGGCCAACACATCACAATGAAAACAAAGTATTACTGTAAATAATGTACCTCTCCATGCACTTTAAGGTCACAACAAAACCCAACAAACTTAAGAAAATGCAGCATTTAATGAGGACACTGTCACAGTTACAGACGAGTTACAGCAAACAAACAGTGTAGTAATAAATGGTTTGAGTGAAAGCTGTCCCAGGCAATCTATCAAACATATATATATATTGTTCTATCCTTGTGCTATGACACTGAAGTGTTGACTAAAGTCCCTTCTAAGATTCATTCAGATCTTCATATAAGCATAATATTATGCTGTGAAAATTTACAGTCAACATAAATAGTCCATTTTGCGGTATCTCCTCACAGAAGATGAGCTGCTGTGTCAAAGGACGTGGATGTTCTCCTTTAGTTCCTGGTTTAGTGCTATAAAAAGTAGATGGCTTGGACTTTCCTAAATAAACTATTTTTAAATTTGCACCCAAAAGCAGACAAACCTTACCTCATCTAAAATGCCTTGAAAAAGAGCACATCTGTTATAAGTTATTGTAGCATGAATTATGCAGTCAAAAAAGAAAACATTACAGTAACACAAAAGCTTGCATGCTTTGAATATAAAACTGAATTTCTACTTGACAGACATCTTTTAATAATTCCTAATAGAGCTTAGAAAGCCCAGATGTGGTCACTGAACTCCCCCAGTGAGTCCATGTGCAGTATTTGTCTATAAGATTTAGGATTTTTTGTTGTTGTTGTTTACTGCTCAGGAATGACTGACTAGATTTGAACATATAGTTTATTCTACTTTGATGTGGGTTTTAGACCTTGAGTCAAAGGTTTTACCAAACTACGTTTACAGTTGCATAAAGTTTATTAAGCATTAATGCGCTTTGCATATACTAGTGAAGCACTGTATCATAGAAGGCATGGGTGTAGATGCATCTATTGCTGAAACGTCTCGCCTATGTGATGGTAAGACTGGTGCAGGCTACAACTAGCATATGGCAACAAATGAGACAAGGCTCAGCTAAATCCACTTTGACAGAAATAGCAGTTTTCTTTTCCTCCCTGGTTTACTACTTCTTTGTGACAGTGTTACATGCTTTTGGGCCCTTCCAGCAGCACTCATCACGACACAGGTGAAGGTGGATTGCAGGTCCTCTGATGCAACAGTCTTCAGCAGCAAACTCCTCTGTATGATTGCACCCTTCTCCAATGTTGATCTAAAACAGTCAACAGCACAATTGTGTTGTCACTAATCATAGTCTTCTCTGCTGTGTAAAAAGTATGCAGAATTACATTTTATGTAAAGGATAAACAAGTTAGACATATATAAATAAATGCTGTGCTAAGGTCATTTCTATTGAAGTGTTCATAATACTCACTGCTCTGATTCTACTATTCTGCCACTGCTGGATAGGTCTTCAGGGAAGGAGCCGTTGATGAGCCAGTAGATGAGTACCACATCTTCACAATGTGTAAATGCATCACAGTGAAGAACCAGCAGCTTGCCTGTGAGGCAGAACACACCCGGACCACAAACACAGCTTGAACATATGTACACAGAAATCCAGGGCCTGTTAACTGAGACTCTGTAAATAGCAGAATATAACTTCAGAGCAGCTGGGAATCTGTGTGTGTCCAAGTGTTACCTGGACAAGCTTCTAGTTGGACTTGATCAGGTCCAATGATCACTGGAGAGTCATCCTCAGAAACTGAAGAACAAATTTAGGTTAGCACAATAATGTAGCTTCGTAAAAATAAAACGCTGTCGCCCACAAAACATACTGTACCTGGAAATCCATCTGCAAGCAGCACACACAGAAATCCCAAGGCTGCTGCAGAGACAACAGGTTAACAATCAACCTCATGATACAGTAAAGAAAAATGACCTGGTATTATTAAACATTACCTTTGATAGCAGACGACAGCTTCATACTGACTCTTACAGTGAGATTTTGGCTGTTGGCTGCTGTTTGGGATTACTGTATATATACACACAGGGGCATAATGCACTTCCCTAACACCCCCTCGCAGAGCACATGGGGATTTCCTCGGTGTCCCTGTCATGCTGTTGACACACATAGTACCACATGGTTACATAAAACTAACTAATCCACAGCTCTCAGTCAGATGATTTCAATTAGTATATTATCATAATTGCAAAGATTGTAAACAAAAACCTCACAAACACATGGATAAAACAAAACATAAACCATGTTATATTTATTAACTGATCTTGAGCCAAACACTGACAACAAATCAAAATGTTAATCTTGCTGAATACACAGTCCTGCTGCTGTGAACTGGTAAAGAGGTCCACGGTCGTACTGTGACCAGTACCAGCAGAAAAAACATGTGTATGGGACCTTGGGTTGAACAGATGACATTAAAATAAGACTGGTACTATGAGCGCACTCACTAAGTTAAAGGTTTATTCTAGCACATTTTCTATCCTTGTCTGATCTCATTACCTCTAGTGATATCTAGCCATGCAGACAGGCTTTCTGCTGCCACCCCCAACACAGGAGGTAAATACAATTTAGTAGTACTAAAAGTAAAGAAAAAAGTAGATTTAACTGCAGTGTGTCCGTTCTGAATAAACCAGTGAACACACCGCCGCCCGTTTCTTTGAAAGAAAGTAGTTCCCAAGAAAACAGCCAACAGGACAAAACTATCAGTATGGCTAGATACAACTGAGACTTATTTTAAGATGATGAAAAAGTTAATTGTGTGAGTGAAAACAGAAGACCTTGTTAGGTACACAGTGACATTCTTCCTATTCAAATCATACCAACTGAATGAAGTGTGATAAAATAAGGGGTAGCGGTCACAACAAACACCGTTGCCAAGGCTGAGTGTCTGAGAAAACAGTGAAGACATTTTGAAATCTAGTAACAATAAAAGTTCCATCTTAACACTGTACGATAAGCACTTTATTCCCCATGATGCTGAATGAAACCTCCACTCACATGGCGTATGACGGTCAGAGATTAGGAAACACTCTCGGGTCATTAAGTTCAAAATATAGTGTCAGTGTCAAGTAGGTCAAACAGCCTTATGAGTACATTAAGGGAGGCGGCTGTAAAATGACTTCAGAGGAAAGTTTCTGCTCACTGGGTTCATATCTCAATCAAATAAATCAAATCAAATATATTTCAAATGCAAAAAAGGAGTACTGATTTCCATTTGATAATTACTCATGTGGGATCGACATGAGGATGAAAGACTCAAGCATGATCCTTTGACTATGTATTAACAAACACTTAAGACAATTAGTAAAAAGCCCCTCTGTAATCACTGTAAGATCTGATTTACTAGGACAGATGATGCACAAATCAATTACTGAGGTGTGATGGTGTATAAAGCAAATCCAGAGAAACAAAGACATCCAAAATCGGATTACTAATAAAATGCAAATAAACCGTAAATACAGATCATATGTGCCTATAAATATATACAAAACATATAGACACTTCTTATTGGTGTTCGTTGTTAGGCCCTCAGTCTTTTGAGCCGGTGCACATCTTTTCCATATGGTGTGTCCATTTTTTGCCAGGCCCCGGGTCACTCCAGACCCAGGATATAGTTGATGCCTTGCACAAATCCAATAATAACGGGTTGCCAGGCCACCAAGTACCGAAGCCAGTCTAACAGTTGTCCGTACATAACATGTGGCCTCTCCCAGCTAAAAATTGGTTAAGGAATAAAATCTCTGGCAGTAATCATAAACCAATAAACAGGTGACAATAGGTTTCACTGTAAAGTATTAACAACAATTGCTGGCAAGGGACCAAGAGAACCAGTTTCAGTGGACTCACAAAACAGGAACATGATATCTGACATACAAATGTCTGCCTTAAAAATTTACACCATGTTTGAAACTTCCTTTCTGTTACAGGAAAGACTTCTGTATCCAGTATCCTGGTGTGAGTGGGTTTCCTGGACATAAATTAGATGTCATTTGTTACTGAAAATGCCCAATGTCGATTACTTTGAGGATGTTGACCTGGGTCGTTTTTTTTTTTTTCTCAGAATCTACGTGAGGTGTTTGTTTTGTTTACCCTCTATACAGTCTGTACATGAACACTGCATATTCATTTGTATGACCACAGACATTACACCAATCAGCTCAGGACTCACTGGGATATTCGGGTAAAAAGGATACGGGTTACTGAACATTCTCTTCAGATCCACCTTCTCTTTGCAGTATGGGCACGTCTGCTTCTTTCCAACAATACACCAGCCTCTTATGCAGAATTCATGGAACCTGGATGTGGAGTTAAGGCTCAATGCGAGCAACAGTTCAAACCAATACAAAGGCTCAAGATGGAAATGGCAGCTTCGTGTTGAAACATTTCTCTGCAGACATTAAGTAGCAAACTTAAATACCAGTGGTTGGTTCGGCACATATTTGCAAATTCAACTCAAATATAACGATGGGAAAACAGATGATTTGGGGGCTGATGCTTAAACACATATCTGAGAAATAAATAAAACAAACAAGATATTTAATGATATGTTTTTAGTGCTGTTGTAACTGTACTGACAATGCTTCAAAATTAACTTTCTGGTGGTATGTTGTGGAGCTGTAAAATCTGTTTATTATCAAATTTATACTTAACTGGGAAATTCAACTACTGTAAGGAATGAATCGTACAAGATAATATCAAATGTGAATAATATAAAAAGGCTGACAAATATGCACAGAACTGCAGCCTACAAAATGTACAGCAAATTCTTTGTGCATGTCCCAACATGTACAGTGGGTACGGAAAGTTTTCAGACCCCCTTAAATTTTTCACTCTTTGTTATATTGCAGCCATATGCTAAAATCATTTAAGTTCATTTTTTTCCTCATTAATGTACACACAGCACCCCATATTGACAGAAAAACACAGAATTTTTGACATTTTTGCAGATTTATTAAAAAAGAAAAACTGAAATATCACATGGTCATAAGTATTCAGACCCTTTGCTGTGACACTCATATATTTAACTTAGGTGCTGTCCATTTCTTCTGATCATCCCAGAGATGGTTCTACACCTTCATTTGAGTCCAGCTGTGTTTGATTATACTGATTGGACGTGATTAGGAAAAGCCACACACCTGTCTATATAAGACCCTACAGCTCACACTGCATGTCAGAGCAAATGAGAATCATGAAGTCAAAGGAACTGCCTGAAGAGCTCAGAGACACAATTGTGGCAAGGCACAGATCTGGCCAAGGTTACAAAAAAAATGTCTGCTGCACTTAAGGTTCCTAAGAGCACAGTCGCCTCCATAATCCTTAAATGGAAGACGTTTGGGACGACCAGAACCCTTCCTAGAGCTGGCCGTCCGGCCAAACTGAACTATCGGGGGAGAAGAGCCTTGGTGAGAGAGGTACAAAA